GATTGGCTAGTGAGAAGCACATTGGCTGGTAATGTGTGTTGACTGAAAGATTCAACTAATGATTGACAGCACTGAACCCAGATTTTCCCCCTGCAGAAGTCACACAGCAGCACAGTGAGAGTGACAGAGTTTCTGAAGAGCACTGCAGAGAGAGCTGCTGGAGAAGAACAGCTGTTGGAGGGAAAATGGATCACCAGAAGAGCAGAAACAGAAGATGTAAGAGGAAAGAAAGAATAAGAACAGGGCCTTTAACAGAGGTGAAGAGAGTCATCCAGACATTACTGAGACTGAGAAACCCCTCAGAGAGCTGTACAGGTGGGTTTTACAGAGACACTGAACACAGCAGACGCTTTTACAGCCTGTGATATTATGATCATGTAGAGGGTTTAGAAATTTCCTCTGTCTAAAGTTTAATGTGAAACAGGTGACGGCCTCTACGTCCCAGTGCAGCGCGTGGAGAAACACTAGGTTCAAGCCCTGAGTCTGCGCAGCTCAGATAAACACATACATACATTTTTGTCTTGTTTCTTCACCGATCCACAGATACTGGAAAAGGTTTCTTATAAAACGGATAGTTCTGGTCCTCAAATCTGATTGGCTGAGCCGCGTTTGAAGCCATTGTAAAATACATGATACACACACACCTATGACGCCTCACACCAACTGAACTCTGACATGTTCTGACAGAGCACATCATTCTCAGTGTTTTCCTGCCATGAACCAGTCACCTAACACACTACATCACCACATCACTCTGTTCATTTCACAATAAAGCAATAAAGCAGTGAACATTCAGGGAAGGGACATTGAAAGAGTGGACTCTTATAAGTACCTGGGTTTTTACCTCAACAATTGACTGGACTGGTCAGATAACACTAGTGCACTTTACAGGAAAGGCCAAAGCTGACTCTATTGACCCTACCTGCTCAGGAGACAGAGGTGGTTTGGAGTGTTGCTGAGGACCTTCTTCGACACAGTGGTTGCATCAGCCATCTTCTATGGAGTGTCTGCTGGGGCAGCAGCATCTCAACTGCGGACAGGAAGAAACCAGCAACAGTTTTCACTTCTTCTAATTCTGAACACATTCAGTGATTATAATTTCCAAAATTCTTTAGTTTGCTAAACTATAAATACTATATCAGACAACAATCACAGCCCAAATAATAATAATGATTCTAGAGATTAACTGCTGATTAATTGCTGTCCAGCCCAGTTGTTGACCTTTTATACAAAGTGGTCACCTTTGGAGTTATTTTGTTTCTAATGGACAGTGCATTATGGGCCCAGAACATAATCAGCAAGTGCTCATGTATAAACACGAGGGAGAGGACATGTAACTGAATAATGCAGAGCAGGTACAGTGAGTATTTAGAGTGTCTGTAACTGTTTTCTTTGCTGGATAAAGCAAAGTTCTGTATTTTTTACTTATTATTATTCATTTATTTTATACAATAAAGATATATTATTCTGTTTTGTACTGTTTTTCTGATGTAATAATGTTTTTTTTTCATTCACTGTTAAAAAGGTGTCAGTTCAACATAAAAAAAGTTAATATAGTAACAAACAAAGACTTAATTTATTTAATTTACTTAATTCCAAGCCTTGAAAACACTACTAACCAGCTTCTGTCCTGATCCTCTTTTTTCAGTCTTGTTTACATGATCAGCCAAAGAATAATAAACTACAATACAAAACTGAGCTTCAGAGGAGTTTCCCCTTTACTACATCATAGATGTACATAACACAGTGGATCTGCCTTAATGCCAACAGTCAGTAGTGTTTCTGAGGTGACTGTGCTGTGACTGACAGTATCCCTGCTGTAAGAGCTCTAGTGTTGATGGTCTGATGGAGTGAGTTTATGTCCAGATGTGTTTTTATATCTGTAGAGCTTCTTGAACATGAAATGATCTGCTGTGCTGAGCTGCACGTCTCTGCAGAAAAGGGTGTGAAAAGTTTTGAAAAAGTTAACTTTACCATGAAAGGCTGATGCTTCCATTGTGGCCTGTGAACAATGTGATGGTTATTGTACATCAGCCTCGTATACTGTATGTCTGATACAGACAGAGTGTTGTTATATCCTTATTTCTGAGTAAACTGTTGAATATGTGTGTGTTTGTGTCTCATCAGATGAATTTAAAGGTCTTTCAGTTGTGACAGAAAACTGTATTGACTGAAAGACTCACTGAGGCTCATACGTTTAACTCAAGAACATGTTTATACTCGTCCACAAGGCTAATATAACAGAAGGCACACTAAATATTTTGGAATTATTTTGGATCATGACATGTCTAAGTGGTCCTGGGTGAGAATTCATTGCAAGAAAATAATTCTAGCAATGAATTTTTAAATATTTTGTTCCTCCAAACCAAATAACCAGGTTCTACATCATTTTATACTCTGATAAACTCCAACACCATCAAATCTTAGGTCACATCTTTATGACTATTTGGAGAAAATCCTTTTATTGTAATCAGACATTATTTGCTTGTACCTTCAGCTCTGCAGGCGAGTTCTGAAGGAAAACAGCAGGAACTGGTTCACACTGATGGCCAGCAGAGGTCAGTATTACATCAGTTTACGAAATAAATGCTTTTAGCTTTAACAGAATTAAAGCAGTGTTTGTTCACAAGTGCAGGACAGAGAAACTACACTCAGAGTCCGGATTAGTTTGTTTTTATTGTAGGGAATTTCATTATTCGTTACTCAGACACAACTATAAAGAAACACATGAAATAAAAACAGTATAAAGAAAGACAGAGAAATAAATCTGAGTGTAAACAGTGAATATTTACAGGGTCAGATTTCAGCTGAAAGTGCAATAAGAAACTGTATAAACAGAAAAACGTCACTGTCCAAAGAAAAACAAGTATCTCCACAACAGTAACTTTACAGGAGGAGGCAAAACACTCTTACCTTTCAGTGGAAGTTAATGTAAAGGATTTTATTCTAAATGATTTTAGAGCATTTCTATTGGTCCATTCATCATGAAACTTACACACAACATAAAACACAGCTGGTGTGTTAAAATGATGCAGACAAATAAAAATCAACACAAATGGAGATACATGGTTTTCATTGGACAGCGACAATACACAGATTGAACAGTTTTAAACATGATGATGAAAATACTGAGCTTTTCAGTGTGAACAGACTGTACAGTATATACAGAATACAGTACATGTTAAAGACCAAATAGAAATACATCATTACTGTAACAGAGTTCCTCTAAAATCCCTTCAGGAGCTGCAACACCTTCTACTAAATCAAATATGAGTCCAGTTTAAATAGAAACTATCAGGTTCTCTCAAACTCAGTCAGATTAAACCATTAATCTTCCAGCTTTCTTCATCTGAGCTGCTTGAACTTTGGTGGAAACCTGGAGAAACGTAGGAACATCATGAACATCATAAAGTCTAATAGACACAAACGTCATATTGATAAAGAAACCAATGTGATTGAAGACAGAAAGACAGTGCAGGTCTGAGTAAGAAGAGCTCAAGATCTTAAAGAGTGGAGAAAATACAGCGTGATTTTTTGTGAGATTTTTCAAGTAAAATAACCTGATACAGCAGTCCTGTGTTTTCATCAGTCAGGGTCACTGGAGTCACTCAGAGATGCTGAGGAATTATGGCTCATTTGAGGTTCTGCTTCTGTCGTTGTAACCTGTTCAGTTTGCTCACCTGATTTTAATCTGTTCTACATTCAGAGATGTTTGGAGTGAAGTTATGATTTTTCTAAACGTTTTACAGTCTTATTAAACAGACAGCAGTAGCTACATAATGTTTAATCAGCATCTCAGGCCTCTATAGAGAATATTTACCTCTAACTCCTACAGAAATGGACAGTAATGAGAGGAATCTCTCTCTCAGTCACAGTTTATTACAGGACTCACTTCAGCATCTTCATCTGGAGCTGCTGGACTTTTGGTGGGACAATCAGAGTCGATCAACACAATCATCAGTGATGAATCAGATGGTGTGAAAGTGCAGTGGGCGCCGGGTGTGCGTGTGCAGCGCTGCATCCTGACCTGCAGGACTGAGTGTTTCTCTGCTCTATCAGACTCATTTGGAGCTGCTGAAGTGCTGAGTGAAGAGCTGCTGGTTAATCAGGTGAGTTAGATCAGAAAAACACTGCAGTCTAAAGTACAGGAGTAGAAAACTCTGCTCTGCTGCTCTGATTAGACTCGCCTGCTCGTCTCTCTTAAGCCAGTATTACTTTGTAAAAGTCACTGATTCTTTAAGCTCACCTCTATGCATACATGAATTTCAATGACAACACTAGAAATTATTTGGAAACAACAGCTTTAATTGTCTTACAAAAATATACAGAACTTGCACAGACAAAATGGGTGGAATAGCAAGTATATAGGTTACCATATACAAATAAACAGTTAAAGCAAAATACACAATAAAAGTCGAGTGTGCAGTACACCATTGTGCTTGATTATGTTTATACACTCATTGGCCACTTTATGTACAGCTACCCTAGATTTAAACTCATTGTCCATTTTATCAGCTCCACTTACTATATAGGTGCACTTTGTAGTTCTACAGTTACAGACTGAAGTCCATCTGTTTCTCTGATACTTTCTTACCCTGTTCTTCAGTGGTCAGGACCCTCACAGAGCGGGCATTACTTGTGTAGTGGTTCATTCTCAGCACTGCAGTGATGCTGACATGGTAATATGTGTGGTGTTGCACAGAGTCACTCCGTAGTGTTACTTGAATCTTTTAACACTTAAGTGTATTTGCTGGACTGAGAATAGATTTCCAGCCAACAGCGTCCTGTAGGCACTGATGAAGAACTAGAAAATAACAAACTGGGCAGTAACAGATGAGCTCACATGTCTAACTTTACCTCTAAAAGGACTAACAAGGTAGGTATTGTAGAGGGCCTATAATATACATGGGTTCTTATTTTGAAGCTGATCTTTTATATAATGGTCTGGCCAGGAGCGAGTAGCCCATCAGTGGCCTTCGTGGGCGGAGCTAAGAGAGCGCGCTGTGCGAGAGAGAAGGCGTGACAGCAGCTCAGTGTTTGAGTGTGTTTCAAGCTCATATTTTCTGTTGAGATCCTTATACAAGGACTTAAAAGTTGAGCTGGTAGTGTCGTTCTGCTTTGTGGACTGAGTGGCTCCTTGGAACTGAAAGAGGAGCGAGTTGCAGCGGGCGCCATTTGCTGTGAACGTAATGCGGGCATTTGATGCGCCTCACTCTCTTCAGCTCTGTTTAGGAGGAGGTCTCCCTGCCATTCAGAGACATCATCCAGCATCAGTCCCTCCGCTTCAGACTGGCAGTTGAGTTCCATTTTCTGCTTATTATCAGAGACTGAATCACTTGCACTGTTGCATAAAAGTAAAAAGGCTAATATTTCTGCTTATTGATTGTAACGTTATAACTGTTTGGAAGAGTAACTGTTCCTTCCCTTGTTTTAAATCGTTTTACAAGCTAAAAGTACGGAGCCCCGGAGGGGACGGAGGTAAAAAAAAAAAATAATAATTCGAGCGAACGTTTTGTAGTTCGTACGCACGTCTTCTCTTATTCGTGGTCACGATTTCTTAAATCGTTCCCTTGTTTTCTTTTAATCGTGCGCACGTTTTCTTTACTTCGTGGGTTCGTTTTTTTTATTCGTGATCACGATTTTCTAATTCGTTCCCTCGTTTTCTTTTAACCGTGGTCGTGTTTTATTTTTAACTGAATGCAGGTTGTTTGTATTTTGATAACAGCTCCCTGAGACGGTCTGACGGGTTTTGACGTGTTAGATTGATGAGATAATGAACAGAGATGCTCATCAGGTCTGATTTTGATTTGGGGTTGGGGGGATGAGGAAACTGCAGCTCCTCTTCACAGCAAACGGCCCACGGTGTTTCTGCTCCCGGTCAAGCTGCGGTGTTAGGGACCATCACACAATTACAGGACGAAATGATCAGCGTTTCAACATCCTCACATTAATATATCTACATCTGATCCATAGATCTATTAAAATCTCCCGCCATTTGACCTCACCCCACATTAATGTGTCTGTGTGTGTTTAATTTGAGTTTGTTGAAACGTTGACGCTGATCATTTCTTCCTGTAATTGTATGATGAGCTCTAACACCGCAGCTTGTCGCGGGAGCAGAAACAGCGCAAAGTGTCTCTATCTCTGTTAAATATGATCATTAGACAGTGCAGTTTAGTGAAGATTGTGGTTGTAGTTTATTGTCTTACTTCATTTCACCACCAAACTGCAGCTGCACTGATGAATCTGAGGGCCGTTTGCTGTGAAGAGGAGCTGCAGTTTCCTCATAACCCCCCAAATCAGAATCAGACCTGATGAGCATCTCATTATCTCATCAGTCTAACTCACCAAAACCCGTCAGACCGTCTCAGGGAGCTGCTAGTTACTTCTGCACCAGACAAAAAACACTGATTTTGCGCACAAATCAAAAAAATAAACAACGTGCATTCAGTTAAAAATAAAGCATGACAACCATTAAAAGAAAACGAGAGAACGAATTAGAAAATCGTGATCACGAATAAACAAAAACGTACCCACGAAGTAAAGAAAACGTGCGCACGTTTAAAAGAAGACGAGGGAACGATTAGAGAAATCATGACCATGAATAAAGGAAAACGTGCGTACGAACTGCAAAACGTTCCCTCGAATTAATAACTTTTTTTTTACATCCGTCCCCTCCGGGGCTCCGCATAAAAGAGTGAAAGAGAGTTTTTATTTTTCTTTTTAGAACTTGTAAGCCCTTTATGGTTAATTCTGTTTTGTTTGCTCTTTGGTCTTATTTTGAAAAGAGAGAAAGGATAATACTGTATAACAGATTGAATCCACAAGCTTTATATGGTCATTGCCGTTTGTTGCCTCGTATTTTGGTATTAATTGCACAGTTTTATTTATTTCTTTTTTTCCAAAAGGAAAAGTGAGCTGAAACTAAGAGAACAAGCACTTAAAATTCATTTTTTAAAAAATAAATATTCCTTTTTTTGGTAATTGCTGTATATCTCTAATTCTACATTTATCTAGGAGTAGGGGCGTCTCACCTGTCTTGTTACATCTGGGGAGGGCGGGTCTAATGCTAGGTCTGACTAATACATGTCCAGCTTACATTTCACACTTCAGGTTGCTACCGTGATCCAGATAATTCCTGAAGCCCACCTTGCCATATCTTTCGCATACATACACACTGATCATCTTTTGCAGCAAGATAGGTACCAGTATACTACCCGGGTGAGTATTGAGACTGAAAGTATCGGGGGTGGGGACACAGATCCTGTCACTTAATCGATCTTCCTAGATAAAGTGTTACAAATAACCCCTACTGGATGGAGGCACCACCCCCCGCCTACAGTATGTAAGTGTACACAGTGAGTGGACACAGTGTTTTAAAACTGGTCCAGTTGTACCAATACAATCCTCAATAACACACCACTACCATGTCAATATCACTGCAGTACTGAGAAGGAAACCACCTCCCAGATGGTACCTATTCTGTGGTCCTGTGAACTGATGAAGGAGTAAACAAATTATGCTGAGAAACAGATGGACTACAATCTCTAATACATTGTCTGCGTATTTTTTGTTTTTTATCGCCAGTTTACCTGTTCCACCTTAAACGGTGCAGCAGGCCTCCCAAGTAGAAAATCACTTCCTGACCTCCCTCTGCAGTTCGTGCCACAGCAACGCAGTGATGTGGTCATATGCAAACAGGCTTAACCAGTTAAACTAATTTAGATACATAGAGAATGTGTTAGAGAGAGAGGGAGAGGCAGAAAGCGGAAACACGTTGTCAAACTCCGTGAAAAGGGCCTATTGGTCGGGCAACACATCACTCCTTCCTCTTCATCCTCCCAGCAGTTCTTCCTGTGGTGGACTGAGCCAGTCTAAAGTGCTTTATAGTGAAAGTGAAATCTTTAGCAGCATCTGTTTGTTGTAGTGTTTGAGGAGAAAGAACAGAGGTGATTAGTTCAGTTTTAAACAGAATTTACTTTCTGACTTTGACTAAAAGCATTTCAGACATGGAGAGCACATTGCAGGATTCGGTGAAACCTGAAAGAGGAGAGATGACCTCCAAAATGAGTTGCTCTGAGGAACAGGACACACAGGAAGCTGAGAGGTGAGAGAATAATGTGATCTGGTGTAAAGTGAGTTTGTTCTCTAGTTCACCACCATGTAAGACAGTTTGTCTGATACTGTTTGTGTTTTAGACTGATTGAGGGTAAGAGATCTGACTCACCTGAACCCAGCTGTGTGTCCATGAAAAGTGACCAGTCAAAAGAGGAAATAATATACTTCAGAGATGATAACAGTCCTACTGAGTTCAGGTAAGGATGATGTGACACTCAAGAATGACATGTAAAGATGCTTCTTCCGAACTGTGGTGCAGGTGAAACACTAAACAGCTGTTTAGCTATTATTGGGAGTCATACGTTCACAGCAGCAAATGACAGAAGCCCAGCATGTGTGAGTAACTGCTTGCACTGTAGTAAAACTTTGGTCAAGAGTTTAAACAAGGATGAACTGCACTTTCATTAAAACGGCACAGCCAAATTAGACTTCTCTGCTATTAGGCTGTCAACTGGCATCAGGAATCAAATTCATAGAGACATATTATATTAAGACATATTATTGCAAAGTTTTAGATATTAATCAGATTTGTCGTTTGAAACTACTATCTTTTCTTTATTTCAATCATAGAAAGGAATACTGATATTTAAGTAAATTCGCATTCGATTAAGCATTGTAGGGGCCCTTGGAGGCCAATTTAATCGAAACTTTACATGCTTCCTCAGGCGATCATTTTGTACAATATTTCAAATTTGGTTATAATCAGAGAAAGACTGATGGTTTGCAGCCCCTTATGTCAAAAAAGCATGGCTGAACAGAGTAATTTATGTCTTGTGGCCTTTCTTTGCAGTAAAGTCAAGATTTTTTTTGATAACTGTTTACCTATAATCTCCACTGATTGTTTTATACCCAATTATGAAACAGTTTCATTTAAGTTCATAGACCAGTTCAAAAAGCTATTTTTTCAAACATTGACCAATTACAGAAAAACTTTAAAGAATTTTAGTAGATTTGTGTGATAAAATGTCTGAGTTAGTGTGTGGTATGAAATTTATTTATAGGACTTATTCTTGTTTATGTTATATAGCACCACCTCATGGCCAATTGAGGTCAAACGTTATAGGCTTTTAGAGATTTTCTGTGAGGACACATCATTCAGTTTGTGTAATGATTGGTCATTTCTAAGCCCTCCAAATATCTGTTGAAAGCTTATTGGCCAGCGGTGGCCATATTTGTCCAATGATTGAGTTGTTCTTAATAATTTGCTTATAAAGTGGACCAATTATGTAGACTGCTAAGGGTAAGCTCAGCTGAGATTTTTGGTTATTATAGCGCCTGCTATTGAACTATCAGTATCAAACTTGGTGGACTTCCACAAAATCATGTGAGGTGTGGGTCTGTTAAGTTTCCTGAGATTTGGCAAAAGCAAGCCCGATCTGTAGCCACTTAGGTGAAATAAGATAAACCTAAATTGGGCTTAATTGGCATGTGGCAGCCATACTGTTTACAAATGTCAATATTTTTTGGATAAGTGTTCAGGGTAAGGATCTTGCAGATAATTTGCTATCAGTTTCATGGGGATAAGGTGAAAAAAAGAGTAAAAATTCTCAAAATAAGGTTTTTCAAAAAAGTAAAATATCTCAAAATGTTTCCAGTGGGGCAAGGGAAGTATTTTGAGGTTTTAATGAATTTTGGTTTAGTATGAGTTAAGAAATCAGTAGCACCAAGAATTATGTCTGTAACCCTCTCAGTTTAGGAGGTACAGAACAAATTTTAAAACACTTTTCTGTAGTTTCCCTTTAGGCCAGTTGGTGTCATCTCGTGTACTTGAGTAGCAGGAGGCTGTTATGCATGGAGATCTATGTTTTGTCCAGATTTTGTCACAATCAGAGAAAAATTTATGGATTTATAGGAACTTATGTCAGAACACGCCAGGCCAAACAGTTTGATTGTCTTCTTGCCATTCTGTGCACTAAAGTCAAGATTTTTTGATAATTATTTACCTACAGACTGGACAGATTGTTTTAAGACCAAATTTGAGACAATTTGATTAATATCTTAGGGCTGGTTCGAAAAGCTCATTTTTCAAACTTTGAACAATTGCAGAAAAAAAAGACCTTAAAAGACTTGTTCTTGAAAAATGGTCAGTTTCCGTGTAAGGTATGACCTGGTGTAATTTGTTTTTTTTTTTATCAAGGATTAAATTTATAGGGATAATCCTAGTTTTTTGTTGAATAGCAGCACCTCATGGCTGATTGGGGTCAGACTTAATAGGCTATTACAGATTGTCTTTGTGAACAGTCATTCAATTTTCATGATGAATGACCAGTGCTAAGTCTGCCAAATGCCTGTTGAAAGCTTATTGGCCAATGGCAGCCATTATTGTCCAATTATTGAGTTGTCCTTAATATCACAGTTATTAAGTAGTACAACAATACAGCATGCAGCGTTTCACCTCAGTCGACCAAGTGGTTACAGAGAAACAGTTTTTGGATATTATAGCGCCCCCTGTTGAATAATTGGTGTTAACCTTGGTGGACTTCCTCAAAGTCATGTTTAGTATTAGACTTTCAAATGTAATGAGAAAAGGCCAAAGCAATCCCAATTTTTAGCAATTTTGTAAATTAATGATGGAAAATATGGTGGGGACCCAAATAGAACCAGTGCAACATTTATGTGTAATAAACTAAGAATTAAGACGAAGCAAGAATTTTGAATGTAGGCCTCATGGTTTCAGTAGAGTTTGGTTGCAGACGTGCACTCTCAGTCAGATGCACTCTCAGCCCCAGTGACATCACGTGCACATGCACTCTCTGCCACAAGCAGCCCAACGGCACGGTAACTTTTGGCTGCTGCTACTAGAACCCATTAAAAATGTCAGTTGGTTCCTGGTGGTTTTCAGTAGTCACTAATGGTGTTCTGTGTTTTCCTGATGGGTTGATATCACAGTGTAAAGGATTCTGATCATTTAATCAGGTGTTATAGGACCTATTCCACATACATTTGATCGGTTTGTCTGATACTGTTTGTGTTTTAGACTGATTGAGGGTAAGAGATCTGACTCACCTGAACCCAGCTGTGTGTCCATGAAAAGTGACCAGTCAAAAGAGGAAATAATATACTTCAGAGATGATAACAGTCCTACTGAGTTCAGGTAAGGATGATGTGACACTCAAGAATGACATGTAAAGATGCTTCTTCCGAACTGTGGTGCAGGTGAAACACTAAACAGCTGTTTAGCTATTATTGGGAGTCATACGTTCACAGCAGCAAATGACAGAAGCCCAGCATGTGTGAGTAACTGCTTGCACTGTAGTAAAACTTTGGTCAAGAGTTTAAACAAGGATGAACTGCACTTTCATTAAAACTGCACAGCCAAATTAGACTTTTCTGCTATTAGGCTGTCAACTGGCATCAGGAATCAAATTCTATTTTTCTCTTTGTCTTTTTGAAAAAATATTCAAATATATGATCTAATTTTAAATACATTATTTGTTGTAAAATCACATTATTTTTCAAGGAAAATAAGTAAGAAGACAGATAACTGCAGTGAATGCCAGATTACCAAGTCAATCTTATGTCTTGTGCATCCACAAAGGGGTATAAATGATCAAGTGACCCCAAAAGCACACAGGGCCAGATTTAGCGTGATGTTAAGAACAAATGGCATGGCCGTAACACATCTGTTCATTCTTAAACGAGGATTACCAGCGTGTTTTCACCGCTTTTGTGATGTGAGGCGTGGCCATGCATTTAATTCATTTACATATGGTGGTAGCGATTCATAACACAGCACAGTCACACAGACATTAAGACCTTAGCCTGTCTGATAGTAATTTTCTTGGTAAAGGCTCATTTATGTTCAACGTTTAATACAGACAAGGACAGATCCCTCTGTCCATACTCTGTGCTTGTTTCTTTCATAATTGTGCACATTTTGTGAAAGCTTATGAATATGGACAAAACGTAAGTACCACCGGAAATCGTGGCTCTTTCGTCTCTTCTGTAGTCCTGTCACCATGTTTGTTGTTGTCAGAAGCTTGGACTCTGGACTGCCCTCTAGTGGATATATTGCTTACCGTCCATGCCAAGATAAGGGACACATAGAAATATGTTGTGACGGTTACATCTTTTTATATATTTATTATTACATTTTTACACTTTCATTTTCGTACATTAAGAGAGTAGGCTCACAAGATGGTCATCAAAAAGGTGCATATTCTAAAAGGCCTATTCTAATGTATTCTGTGATGTATTGCTGTCATTATAAGCTAAAGAGAGGGGCTGCACTGAAAGCATGAAGACACAGACTGTACTGAAAGTAGAAGTTTATAACTTCTACAAGTTGCTGCAGTAGCTGTGTAGCAGCTCAGCCACACAGTTCAACTGTAAAATCCCAAATAATTATAATTAAAGCCAAAATAAATTGTTATTGTGCTTGATAACAATCCGCAATGGCATGTTCTTCCCTCTGCTTTGTAGTCGTCGGTTGTGATAATGTTAATAACTAACTGGCCTGGAACATACTAGGAGCTGCAGCAGAGGCTTTAAACTTTCAAATAGATGTTTTGTGCATTAGTTTGTGTATTTTTTTATAATGTCATATACTGGTGTTTTGGGTGACAGAAAACAGAACTTGGGGAAGATTCTGTCCAGAGTGGAGATTTTAAAACTAATTTCTATGTGTTTATGGGGATGGATGTTTTTGAAAATGTACATTGTGTTTATTACACAATAAACACATATTGTTTCATGAGTGGTGAGCATGCGTTTGTTCAGTTCATCCACAATATGCACAGTATACCATAAAAATAAGTGTTCTCTTTAATAACAGAGTCCAGAAGATGAAATCAGAACCTACCAGAGGAAATATGGAGTCCATATTCAAGGTTTGTATGCTAAGTATATATTAAGATTTAAATTGTTAAATTATCATGAAAGCTGTGTTTTCAGTGGACTGAAAATACAGCTTTCATGAGAGCACTTTTGTTATTTTAGAATAGTATTAGGCTATTTATTCATTTGAGGCGGTATTATGCTACAGAGTGATATACAGTTTAACCTGTGGTAATGGGCAGTAATCCTGACTTGTTATTTCTGAAATAATATAATATACACTGCCTGGCCTTCAGTCTAATATTTTGTTGGACTGCCTTTAGCTTTATTATGGTGCGCGTGCACCGTGCAATTGTTTAGACAGCCTTATGCAAAGATTTATTTCCATCCAGAGTTGCATTCATTTTTGGTCGAGATCTTGTATTGACAATGGGAGTGTATAACCACTCCACAAAGTCTTCACCAGGACATCCCAAAGACGTTCAATGGGGTTAAGGTCGGGACGGTGGTGACCAATTCATGAGTGAGAATGATTCCTCATGCTCCGTGAACCAGTCTTTCACAATTTGAGCTTGATGAATCTTTGCATTGTCGTCCTGGAATATGCCTGTGCCATCAGGGAAGAAAAAATCTATTGATGGGATAACGGGACATGTGATGGTCATTCAGTACATTCAGGTACTCAACTGACTTCATTTTATTGCCACATTACGTTGCTTAGCTTAGCAGTGGCGTCTCTAAATTAGGGGCCGTTGGGGCCTGGCACACACCAGATGTCTCTGGGGAGCAGTGCATGACATGATTAGTAATTCAATATAACAACTAATATATATATTTTTCTTTGGAACTAACATTTTTGCACATTTATTACGTATGACAATGGTAGGGCTGTCCGATAAATTCCAAATATCTTCCAGTACCTGTGGTGTAAACACCAGCAGCTGACCTATTTCTCCTAGCAGTCTTCGTTTGGTGAGCATGGGGCCAGCCTGCCAGCGCTCGTCTAACCAAGTGGGTGTGTTCAGCGCACTTTCAATAACCAGCTGTGGGGCACGGCAATAAAAAATAATACATGTATATATGTCCAGATGTTTAGTAACGTTGTGTACGGTATGTGAGTTGCTACGCAGCCAGCCACTGTTCCTTATCAGCTGTGATGTCCACTTATAATAGCAAGGCAATATAATGGATCAAGTCAAAAAATGTAATAAAAGTTCAATTTGGTGCCAGCCATTAGAGCAGAAATTAGAGATTAAATGTTTGAGACACGCCAGCCACAGGATTTCAACATCATTCAGTCTGGAAAGGACAAAAACTGCTCCTTCAATCCAGAGAGGTCCAAGAGAAAAACATGGCTAACTGTGAGTGTAGCTAAAAACACTCTTCTGCTTTTCTCACTTGCCCTTTCTCTCGCTTGAATTCATTCATGGATTGGTGGACTTTGAGAAAAAAGTTTTAGACGAGCTTTCCCAGATGAAAGATCGTCGTGCCTCTTTTCTTTTCGAGCAGTGATCGTCACTGGTGTGTCATTCTGCATTATTACAGGGCCTCTTATTCCTAATGCCTGGAAAGCAATGTGTTTCCCTGTTCTGATATGTTGCTTTGGATATGTAGTTGCAGACCACAATGATCATATACTGCTAGATAACTCTGGATTTGTAATGCGATGCTGTATAACACGGTTTTGTGAGATCTAATGTCGTTATCATATCGCTCAAATTCCCCACTTCCACTAACTCCTGCACAGCAACTTTTTTTTTGGCCAGGGAATGTACATCATTAAATCATCTGACACCATATCAGTGGCTTTAATATTTTTGTGATTAGTTCCTGGCAGAGCACTCCTAACCAAAAAACATCCAGTATTTACTTGCTTTCTAACATGTAGATGTATAATTTCATTCTTTTCACTTCTTAATTTTTCATATATAACATGCGTTCTTGTGTCATATGTCTGGTTTTTTAATTTGGAGAAATATAAGATCTAAATATTATACTGAAATAAACCACTAATAATGTATTGTAACTGTCATGCATGGTCGAGTAAAAAAAATCAATAATGTACTCATTAACAGGACGCTGTTTCTGTTTCCTTTTTTTTTTTTTATCAGGAGCTGGAGCACAAAGTCATCTCTGTGGTAAAGAATCAGCTGAAGAGGTTTGTAAAGTTACTCAGTTTGGATTACCCAGCATGCTCTGAGAGAGAGGTGGAGGATGAAAAAGATCAGAGCAGTGTCAGAGAGGGGGCGCTGAAGATCACACTGCACGTCCTGAGAAACATGAACCAGACAGACCTCGCTAACACACTACAAACCAGTAAGAGCTCATGTTTATAAAATAACAACTCATTGTGTACAAGCCTCAGTTCCAAAAAAATGTGACAGATTTTTTTCACAGTGTGTTTTTTGTTTTTTCTTTTTTGTACATACGCACTCATTCCAAATTTGATGCCTGCAGTACATTATACAAGTCTTTAGCTACGCAACCATGCAGGGCCTTTGTTGTCATATTTTGCGCTTTATAATGTGCCATGTGTTTTCATTAGTAGTCAGGTCTGAACTGCAAACAGGCCAGTGTAGCACCCATAATCTCTGATTGCACAGCCATGCTGTTGTAAAACACGCAGAATGTGGTTTGGTGTTGTCGTGTTGAAATAAAAATTGATGTAGCTGATAAGATGTCTTTCAGAAGGCAGCATATGTTCCTCCAAAATGTATTGTAGCGTCCTGATACTGGCTTGTTGGGCCAGAGATGCGTGGGCCATGCCCTGAGCCTCCTGGGAGAATGCGGGACAAGCAGTAAGAGAGACTTTAAATGTAAATACTCTGTAAAATTACAGCTTTACAGTCGATTTTTTTGTTAAACATCTCTAAAGTGTAATAAAAACAAGGAAACACTGCATAAATACACTTAGTCTACAGTTTGAAGGTTGCTATTTTTTAAAATAATAGCATAATTATGTTATTTCATAGAATATTCAATCTACAACATGCACATGTCAAGGTACAGATTTTTTTGCTGACTTTAGATTTTTTGAAAGACTTTACTGTCTTTCAAATACTTTAAATTTTTTTTATCTGTCAAAAAATGTTCTTATCCTACAAATTTACAGCAGATAACAGTTAAATATTGGTTGATCTACCTACAAACTATTACGAAGTACTGTTTATCCACACATTCTCACTGTTACAGCATTGGATTCGGTTAAATACAGAAAAACAATGTAAAATTACAATTAACTAACCCAATATAAAAGTCACTGTTTTTTTTTTTATCGTTCTGTATATTCACAGAAATTTGGCATTAACAAAAATTATATACCATAATAAAAAACTATTATGTAAAAATACATCTAAAATTTTGTAATTCCAAAAGTTGTAAGTTAAATCAAAACAAATATTCTAACTTTTCCAATTATTCAACAGTGCTTGGGATGTAATAATATTTTAAATTTCTGTTAAAAGTACTCTTAAGATCTACCTATTTTACAACACATTCCTATAAGTATACATATTCTTGTGGTCAATTTGATATGTTCCTATTTTTTTATTATAGGAATCAACATACTTGATTATCAACATAAACTTTTACTTCAGCAGATAAAAGAATGGTGTACTTTAATTTTACATATATACACATTAAACATATTGCTCTTTTAAAACAATGTGAAACCACTGAACTGACAGTTGAACTTCAACAGTCATGACATTATCATGAAATTAGCATTCAAAATAAAATGGAGGGAAAATAAAAAGAGAATCAGAGAACAATGACCTGTTGAGCAGCTGAAGTCTTAAGCAAGAACAGGCAAAAATGCCACTTACAGTACAGTTAGTATCATTGGTTGTCAAATAATTCAAAAAAGTTCATTAAAAGGAAAGATGATGTCACAAGTGGTAAACATGCCTCTGTCACAACTTTTTTTGTTGTGTGTTACAGCCATCAAATTCTAAATATATATTAAATAAGTTGGTCATTGAAAACATTGGATTTTTTTTTTACTTTTGTCTGTTAAATAAAGGTTCAAGAGAATTAACAAATCAAAAATTCTTGTTTTTATCACATTTTACAAAATGTTTTCAAAATGTTTCTTTTTGAAATGGGGTTTGTACTTTAAGGATTGGTACTTTAACTATATGCAGTACTCACATCAGATATCCAATAGAACGACATGTCACTGTTCATTATCACTGTGCACATTTGTTTTCTTCGGTCTCTATTCACTCACCCTTAACCGTCACTACATAACAGTTTTAACATCAACTCTGAGAAGGATGACAGTCATCTTAAGAGGTTTTCGGACATATCAAGGAGAGAAGTGAAAGCTTGAGTCAGCTTGATAATAATCACGTGCAGCTCTTTGTACTTCTATCAAGAGCTAACATCTTTCACCTTTACTTTTACTGCCAGGTTAGCACATTAAATAAGCTCAGTAATACAATAATGACCACTACATCTCTCTACATAGCTCGGGGCATGAGAAGGGCGTCATCAGGGGGCAGTAATGTTTGTTGACTGAACTGACCACAATAAAAATTTTATTTTTACAGTTTGGAAAGATGTGTTCACATTTCAAGCAAGGCTGATGTATATCATTATTACAGAACAATGCATTTCAGCTATTAATGAAAAAGGGTCTTTAACCTGCTGTTACCTTGCACTACATCACTTAGCTTATTACTATTATCTTACTGCTAATAACGCTAGTATTCATACTATTCATAACATACTTTTACATCAGATTTATTGAAAAAGGTGATTTTCCTCTATTTTACAGGTATATTTGTCTGTAAAAAAATTACATTGTAGTTGTTATTGCTGCTGACATTGTATGTGCTGCGGAATTGTTGTGACATTCTGTGCTGGGCTGTGGGACTGGTTAGTGGAGTTGGATACCTACTGTGGAGTAGAAATGTGTGTCTGTACCATGACAGACCCTGGCTTTTAAACATTACCCTGGTTATAATTTGGACATTGGCCATTTTCTTCTTAGGACTTTTCTTCTTTTCCTCAGAGAGCACAGCATCAGTTATTTTCACATACAATTTGGAAGGTTGACCACATCAGACCACAGTACATATTTCCACTATGCATCATTGCAGATGAGCTCGAGTCCAGACAAGTCAGCAGCATTTCTGTACGTCGTTGACATATGACTTCTGCTGTGCATAGTACAGACTTTAACTTGCATTTGTGGATGTAGCAGTGAACTTAGTTCACTGACAGTGGTTAGTCCTGAGCTCATGTAGTTGAATCCATCGCAGAACCATGCAGGTTTTTAATGCAGAGTCATCTGAGGTGTTAAAGGTCACAGGCATTCAGTTGTGGTTTTTGGCCTTGCACAGTGAGATTTCTTCTGATTCTATTAATCTTTTGATGACTTTATGCAATGTGGAAGCTGGAATACCTAAAATCCTTACAATCACTCATTTGTGTAAGGGTTGGCTCCAGGGCTAGGCCACCGCCGGCCACCAGGGGGAGTCAACGACCCAAATGAGCCACACCTGCTCAGGGGGCTTTATAAGGGCTGAGAAGAAGACACACTTTGCTGAGTCTTTGTTTCAGAGTTCTGGCAAACAGACTGGCCGGTAATCTCGGGTAGAAGCTCTAGAGAACTTCTCTCGAGCTTCTTTTCTCCTTGTCACTACTCGAGCCTATCCCCTTTTCTCAAGTTGTGTCTTTCTTCCTTTGAAAAAAAAACAAACAAACAAAAAAAACTAAAGAACTAAAGCTAGAGAAGGGACAAGTTTGCCCCTTTCTCCTTTTCATTCTTCTTTGTGCATTCTTTTCTGTTGGGAAAGTTATCATTTCCTCAGTGTTTGAGAGAGCCAGTCTTTCCCCTGGCGTCCTTTGTTTTGTTCCCGCCTAAGCCTTAGCAGGTGGGCTTTCATACATCCTCTTGTTTTCCACCCGTTTCCGGCGTTCCCTTTTAAGGTGAACCCTCCCTACACCACGTGACACGGCCTCCATAGTGCAGTGGTAGAGCGCCGGTTTATTAACATGGTGGTGTGGGTTCGAGCCCCGGCATCCGTGGTTATATATATAATTTTAATAATACCTTCCAATCGCATAGAAGCTCAGCGTTTGGGTCCTGCCTTCCAAAACCCTGTGATGGCTCACCCGGGTGGCCTCTGAAATACCACCCAGACGGCCTGCGTTCTAAGCCCACCTCTGGCAAGCCGCCACATTACAAATTGAGGAACATTTTTAAACTGTTGAATTATTCACTTAACATTTCACAATGTTCTTACCAAGTTCTTCTGCCCAGAATTCTTGATAACGATATGTTTTTGAAATTGAGGATTGTAAATTATTTTCAAGAGTTTACCTGATCATGATATGATGATAATGTTACATTACAGATGAAGAAATATTTTGATGTGTTTATTGTTACTGCTTCCTCTTTTTATTAGAACTGGCTCCTTCTTGCCATCAAAAGCTCAAATCAACACTAAAGGAAAAATGTCAGAAAATTAATGAAGGAATCTCAAATCCTGGAACCTCAAAATGTCTGAATGAAATCTACACAGAGCTGTACATCACAGAGGGCGGGAGTGGAGAGGTCAATAATGAACATGAGGTCAGACAGATTGAAACAGCATCCAGGAGACCAACAACACAGGAGACGCCCATCAAATGTAACGACATCTTTAAAGACAAACCCTTCAGAACTGTGCTGACTAAAGGAGTTGCTGGAATTGGAAAAACAGTCTCTGTGCAGAAGTTCATTCTGGACTGGGCTGAAGGAAAAGCCAATCAGGATGTTCTCTTCATATTTCCACTTCCTTTTAGAGAGCTCAATTTGATAAAGAATAAAAGACTCAGTCTGGTGGAGCTTCTTCGTCAATTTTTCACAGATACAAATGAATTAAAACCCAGAGACTATAATCAGTATAAAGTCTTGTTCATCTTTGATGGTCTGGATGAATGTCGACTTCCTCTAAATTTCCAGAACAATGAGAGCTTATTTGATTTAACAGAGTCAGCCTCAGTGGATGTGCTGCTGACAAACCTCATCAAGGGGAATCTGCTTCCCTCTGCTCTCCTATGGATAACTACTCGACCAGCAGCAGCCAGTCAGATCCCTCCTGACTGTATTAACCAAGTAACAGAGGTACGAGGGTTCAATGACCCTCAGAAAGAGGAATACATCAGGAAAAGGATCAGTGATCAGAGCCTTGCTGAAAGAATCATTACACACATGAAGTCCTCAAGAAGCCTCTACATCATGTGCCACATCCCAGTCTTCTGTTGGATTGCAGCCACTGTTCTAGAGAGACTGTTGGGTGAAGCAGAGAGTGGAGACATCCCCAAGACTCTGACTCAGATGTTCACCCATTTTCTTGTGTTTCAGATCAAACACAGCAGCCAAAAGTACCAAAGAAACAGTGACATTGATCATGAGCAGACTAGAAAGATTATCTTGGCACTGGGAAAACTGGCTTTCCAACAGCTGGAGAAGGGAAACCTGATCTTCTATGAGGAAGACCTGAGAGAGTGTGGCATTGATGTCAGAGAGGTATCAGTGTACTCAGGAGTTTGTACCCAGATCTTTAGAGAGGAGTCGGAGCTGTACCTGGGGAAGGTTTTCAGCTTTGTGCATCTGAGTGTTCAGGAGTTTCTGGCTGCTCTATATGCATTTATTTCCTTCATCTCCAACAACACAAATGTGCTAGCACAACAAGCCACTGGATTTTATTGGATATTTGGTTTCTTCAAAAAGTCAACAATGTCAGACTTCCTCAAGAGTGCAGTGGACAAAGCTTTACAGAGTGAGAACGGACACCTGGACCTTTTTCTCCGCTTCCTTCTGGGCCTCTCACTGGAGTCTAATCAGACTCTCTTGCGATGCCTACTGACACAGACAGGAAACAGCTCTCAGAGTAAAGAGGAAATAGTCAAGCACATCAAGGAGAAGATCAGGGAGAATCCCTCTCCAGAGAAAACAATCAGTCTGTTCCACTGTCTAAATGAACTCAACGATCTTTCTCTAGTGCAGGAAGTTCAATCATACCTGAACAGAGGAGGTTCCAGTGGTCTCGGTGGAGCTAAGCTCTCCCCTGCTCAGTGGTCAGCTGTGGCGTTTGTGATTCTGAATTCAGAAGAGGAGCTGGATGAGTTTGACCTGAGTAAATTTGACCCATCAGAGGAATGTCTTCTGAGGCTACTGCCAGTGGCCAAAGCATCCAGAAAAGTTGTGTGAGTATTTATATTCCTAAGTGTTTTGCTGAACTGTGTGTTGTTTTAATTTATACAACAGTCAGTTCCGGCCACGCAAGCTGATTGGATGAGAGGTGTTCTAACCGTGCTGTTATTTCACCATAACATTTTTTTTTTTTCGCAAACACTGTACCTCACTCCGCTGAGACACTGTTGCTAAGCACCGAGTTTGACAGCTGTAGGAGACGCTCAAGCTATTTGAAGGTTTTTACTTCCTACTTTGTGCACAAACAGAAAACGGATACTTTTAAGGTCACATTTGACGGACAGCTGATTTGGTCAGACTCTGAAGATAAGACTACACTAAATTCCCAATTGGGAATTCATGGGTTCATTTCTGGCTGATTCCAGGTTGTTTAACTGTTCTTCTGTCACAGCTGCCGACTGAAAAGCTGCTCAGTGGTGATGACAGTTTGGGAATTTAGTGTAAGGAGCTGCAGCGAGTGAGCGGAGTTCATTACTCTAGCAATGAAGTAACAAGCTGCTCGTTAAGGAACTATAATTAGGCGGAAGGAACTGCAAACATTAAAACATATTAAATGCCGCGTTCACTGCCCAGTTTATTAATTTATTACTTTATTTATTTAACTGTTGTATAAAAGCAATAGAACACTCAAGGTTGTGTTATTGCCAATAACATCACAGCTGTGATGATCTACGCTATGTTATTTCATGATAACACACTCGTGTTCTATTACTTAAGTATAACAGATGTACTGCATTCCAACAAACCACTTTAAGATTTATTGATTTTAACATTTTATGGCACTGTGCTAGAATCCCACTGCGGGTCTGGGCTGTATAATGCTTGCTTGCTACTGTTGTGATCTTTTAGACTAATTTGGCAATTGTTTGACAACACTATATCGCTGTTTAGAGACCAGTGGAAGAACAATGCCAAGTTTGACAGTTGGGTGTATTGACTATTCTTTATGGCTTTGAAAGTTGTGCTTGGACTTGGATACAGTTAGCCTACCAACAGTTTCCCAGGATAGGGTGAGTAGGTAATGAATTTTTTTCCACCATTTGGACCTTACAAGTTAATGTGAGGATTCACATTTTGAAATGGCGAAATGGGTCATGATATGCACCAATGTCAAAGCCATATCAACTACAGAGAAAAGAAATCAAATACTTGAGAAAGTAAATAAACTGGCTGTTTTAAAATGTCACATTTAGTGAACATCAAATAGTAAGTTAACAGAACAGTTATACAGTGTTACATTCTGTTGATTCATTATTTGAAGTACAATAAAATAAAAAATAATAAGGCAGGCAGGTTACTAAGTCCAAATCAGTTTTTGCAGTGTGCATTAAAAAATCACGCATTTGAGAGCCTCACGTTGCGTGTGAAAAAGTATACCTAAATATACAAAAAATTGCAGGGCCGTGCAGACCTCTAACAGTGTTTATCAGGACATAAAATGACCAAGATGGAATGCTGTGTTTTAGCACAATGTGATCTTGTTTGATCTTTTGTATTGAAAATATTGTTTCTTTTTTTTGTTTTTTTGGTGAAACTTGTTTCATTGAATGACTGTTTTATCTCTTAAAATATATAAAACTACAGATTAAACACAAATTAGCTCAGCAATGTTTTTCAACTTTTTGAAGCTGTCAGTACTGAGAGGAAAAATACTGACTCTTCTTTCTATGAAAGGTAATCTGCAAATTTACACACAAGACTTCAACATGCAAAGAAAGTTACTTCATTTGTTTAATGATTTGTTGTTAAGACTGTTAAAAGCTTAATGTGTTGACATTAAGTGCATAAAAGTGCAATTATTGTTTCCTCCATTGGAAGATGGTATTTTGAGACAGAGGAAAGACCAGGGTTGGGAACTAGTGTTTTAGGATAATCTGAATTAGTTTTGATATTTACAGTCAAGCTGCCAGCCTGTAACAAGCTACAAAATTTTTCAAACAACAATTACGCTGCACCTATTTCTCCTCCTTTTATCAGAACCACTACCCTTCAACTACTAGAAAATGTTTTTGTCATTGTTCTTTACAGTTTATTTTACTTTCTGACTCTCTCTGAAATTGGTGAAAACCAACTATAACCAGCAATAACATCTCCACATATCTAGGGATGTGCTGCCCTCTGGTAGGTTTCAAGTAAACTCTGGGATGTTGCTATCCTAAAGAGAAATGTGACACTGTTTTATAAGGCTGAGCAACACACCCCTCAAAAAAGCTTGTTACTGGCATTCTCTGTGAACCCACTAAGTCTTGACCCCATCTGAGAATCCATCTACTAAACACACTCCTTCATTGCCTTTAAACAGGTCATCAACCAGTAAACCTGCCTTAAATAAAACCTGAATAAATTATTTTATTTGTGTCAAATAAGAACAAACAGCTGGAATGTGGCTACTAATATATCACTATATAACTATATATTAGACAACAGATCAGTCATTTTCTTGAAAATATCAGATAATTATGATTTATTATGAATCAATAGAATGTGTAACAAAACTCAACTATGAGACAGGTTCTAAGCCTTTGTAAAACACTTGATACATGCACATCTGACCACACATTAATTATATTCCGTATTAATGCGGCATGTTTTTAAAATCATTTTGGATCAGAGACATTTTACTCTTTTTTTTGTCTCCACTGTATTTGCTTCAGTTGTTTTTGTATCGACTTTTAGAGTTATAGGGTGCTATTAGTAAATGTGTCGTCTATATTTATATTTTAATTTATATTGTGACTCTATTTGGACCTGCTTCTTCCACCTCCACCTCTCTATCATTACCCACACATGCAGATAGTTTATGGACTCATTTACACTCCCACATATACTCTCTGTTTGGCTTTACTCTTTGTGAAATCTCTGTTTTTTCATATTAAGTACTTGTGTTTTGTTTACCGCTTTTCTCCAAATGGATTTGTGGCCTGTGTGTACCTGCCTGCCTGTACTCTGGCCCCTGTCTGTTGTGACTACAAGTGTTGGACATGTAGCCCTAACACTTCACCCTACCCCTCTATCTCAACAAAAATCGGGACACCCTAACCCTAAACGTAAACGCGCAAAACAGGGGGCTAAGGGCCAAGTGATGGGGCAAGGGGTGAAATGGGACTGGGCCTTATTGTCATTTTAGTGATGAAGAATTAGCCAATATAAACATTCTGTCCTTGAGAGCTCACACATGAAAACTCACTAACAGAATGACCCACATTTTCATAAGAAAAGAAATAGAAAATGCATTTCTTGTACTCTACATCTGCTGTTACTGTAAAAAAAATTGATGTCTGTAAGATGCTTAGTCATACAGAAGTAATGGAGCACATTTACTTCCTATGAAGGCGCTTTTAGGAAAATGTAACTGTGCTGCATGCAGTCTGCTCTACAAAGAAATGAGAGGGTTTAATCTGATTGTTGTTTATTAAAGTTAATAAAGTGGTGAGTTTTTCTTCTTTTCTCTACAGACTGGAATGCTGCAGTATTACAGAGAAAGGCTGTGCTGCTCTAGTTTCAGCTGTGAAATCAAACCCCTCACACCTAAGAGAGCTTAATCTGAACTCCAATAAACCAGGAGAGTCTGGAGTGAAGCTGCTCTCTGATCTACTGGATGATCCGCAGTGTAAACTGGAGAAACTACAGTGAGTTACTGAATTATTGTCTCTGTATAAGCACATCAACAAAATATGTTATTAGAATTGAAAAGGATTTTTTTTTTTTTTTAGAAAAACATTTCTACATACAATGTGTGTGTGAGCATGAGAGAGACACACACACAATTCCCACTGAATCTTGAAAAGTCTGATAAAGTCTTAAAATAAGGTAATAAAATCTTAGCAGTTTCAGCTGATGCACAGTATTAAAGGCCTCTGATCAGATTACAGTGCAATTCAGGACATAATTGTAAGATGATGCCCAAAGAACATGTTGAAAACTGAGTCATTTTGTATAATAAACTAATTCAAAATAGTCTGTCAGCCAATATATCCATTTGACAGAGGTTCTGTATTCAAAACTGAATGCTGATAAAGAACTAGAGGACAGCAGAACTGATCCAGTCAAACACACTGAAAAGACCAAAAAGGGGATCGTGCAATCTTAAAACATATACAGCTTTTTTAAAATAAAATAGATATGTATGCCATATTTAAGTGTACATGTTCTGAGGTGGAAATGCTATTATTTTTATGCTGAGGTCTTTAAAAGGTATTAAAAAGAATGGAAATTGATTTTTAAAATTGTGTAGCAACCTTTAGAGAGAGACGTGTGTGTGTGTGTGTGTGTGTGTGTGTGTGTGTGTGTGTGTGTGTGTGTGTGTGTTAGAGATCATGTACAAAATTGTGTTCAAACACTAAGTAAATGCAGCTAATTTAATTACTAGCTTAATGACATTTAGCTATTGCTATTTGTAGATTAATTTTTCAATTAGTCTTTACAATATAAATAAAGTGTTATAAATAAAATTATTATTATTATTATTATTATTATTATTATTATTGTCAGTAGTAGTAGTAGTAGTAGTATAAATGTGAATAAATAAATACTGAACATTGGTGTGTTTTATCATATCAATTCTTCACATTTTCCATTTGAGGGAATGTGTTTAGTAATTGATCATTGCTTTAAAATAACAGATTCACTAAATGTATTGCCTTTATATAGACAAAGTTTTGAAAACTAAATATTTTCACCAACCTTTTAAATTTATTATTTCATAAAAGATGTCCTTTATATAGACAAAGACTTAGCCAATATAAATGTCCTGTCCTTGAGAGATGTCCTCACACATAAAAAAATCACAAATGCATTTTTAGCAAGGTACATCAGTTATATATTTACTATTGAAATAAGAATGTAAACAATCAGTTATATAGAAGTAATTAATCACATCTACTTTCTATGGTGGTGCTGTTAGGAAAATGTCAATGTCCTGCATGATCTCCTCTGAAAACTTCAGGTAATTTTTCTTCTTCTCTCTACAGGCTGTCTGACTGCATGATTACAGCACCAGGTTGTGCTGCTCTGGTTTCAGCTCTGAAATCAAACCCCTCACACTTGAGAGAGCTGAATCTGAGCTGGAATGAACCAGGAGAAACAGAAGTGAAGCTGCTCTCTGATCTACTGAAGGATCCATTCTGTAAATTGGAGAATCTACAGTGAGTTACAGAATTACTGTCTCTATATAAACACATACACTAACAGAGAATGTTATCAGAATTACTTAAAAACCTCTTCTACATACAGTGTGTGTGCACGCGTGTGTGAGAGAGAGACATCCTTAAAAAGTCTTAAAATAGATTTTGAAACTTTAAGATGATAAGATTTCTGACAACATCTTAATTTTTACTGTAAGAGATATTAGGTTTTTGGGATGTTCAGGCATATTTTAATGCATCAGATTTTGGTAAAGTAAGATTGATCCAGTTTGGATCTTTTGTTTCCAGTGAGGAGCGTTGTAACCAGTTAAAAACTAACCATCATGGAAACACTGTTCCTTACTGTCCATGTGCACCATTTCTAGTTTGAAACTGATGCTAGTAGAAACTTATTTAGAGATCAAAGAAAGGAGCAGCTACTGCCATGCACTAGAACAGTTTTGAAAACTAAATATTTTCACCAACCTTTTAAATTTATTATGTCATAAAAGATGTCCAGTGAAACTTACAGAAAATTCTGTAAAACTGAGTGCACACCACCACACACATAACTGAAGTGTTTTCATGGCAGAATATTAAAGTAACCATTAACTAAATCATTAGATCAGTCAATCAAATTTGATTCTAATTTGAACCCTATAATTGTTTCATTCTGAAAAGATGTTTTGTTAGGTAAAAACAAAACATGTCATTTCACAATGTCAAATTATGCACATACTAAAATGAACTAAATTTAATGTAGTATTAATTGACAAGCTAAAGTCAGGACAGACCACGTTGGCAAAGTCCTTGTCCCTACATGTAAATGTAATGATAGCCCACACACTCTCTAACAGAACGAACCACATTCACATAAACAACAAGATAGAGTGAGAAAAAGAGAATGCATTTCTAGTACTTTATATTAGTTTATATTTACTACTGAAATGATATAAATGATATAAATGATTGCTTGTACATAAGTAATAAAACCACATCTATGGAAGACACCGCTGCATGTCTGAATGGACATCACTGCAGCACATCTAATTACACTTGTTTATAATGTATTTATTCTAACCTCACCGAGTTTTACTCTGGTAGAACTGGTAGTCATGACAATACCAAGAATACATCTGAGACAAATGAGAGAGAGAGAAAGGGTGTGTATGTGTGTGAGAGAGTGTAGCTTTTAAAGATTTTTGTGTTTTGTAAATTCTGTAACTTTTGTTGTGTGTTTCTCATTTTGTCTTCATTTTATCTGCTGAACTGATGTTCATGTTTGAGATGACAATGTTTCTAACAGATCATCATTTCTCTCTCAGGCTGTGTGGTTGTTATCTTACAGAGAAAAGCTGTGCAGCTCTGTCCTCAGCTCTCACCTCAAACTCCTCAAGACTGAGAGAACTGAACCTGAGTTACAATGAACTGCAGGACTCAGGGCTGGAGCCGCTCTCTGCTGAACTGGAGAATCCAAACTGTGTACTGGAGAAACTAGAGTGAGATCATCACTTTCACACACATCACACACACTTATCATGAGATACAGAAATCATGAGATTATTCAACCAGCTTCAAGACATTTCACTTGTTTTAGTATTTTCTTCTAAAAAATGTAAATTTTATTTATAGATTAGAAATGTTAAATATATTAATTAAATTGATTTAGGATAAAGTGTCTGTGCATGAAAGTGAGAAAGAGAGAGTATGTACATTAGTGTGTGTGTGTGTGTGTGTGTGTCAGTGTGAGAGAGAAAGAGAGGGTGTGTGTGTGTGTGTGTGTGTGTGTGTGTGTGTGAGAATGCAAGAGTATGTACATTAGTGTGTGTGTGTGTATGTGTGTGTGGAGCTGCTCTCTTCTGGACTGGAGAATCCACACTGTAAACTGGAGAAACTGGGATGTGATCATTATGGAGAGCCATTTATAGTAAAACACATATAAACACTTGAACATACGCACAGCTTAGACCCACTTGCACAAACACATACATACTCATACACATCACTTTTATGTACAAGTGTGTCTAAATGATTGTATGCAGGCTGCAGTCATTGGTGTGTGCACAACAATTTTCAGCATGCCCAAAAGTAATTTTTATTGTAGCAGGAAGGCAGAGTTTTAGAAAATAAGAGCATGCTCAGCAGCACAAAGGAAAAGAGTTTCTGGAAATCTCCAGACACTCAGGATGTTCAGGATGAGCAAACAACTGCTCCCATCAGTTTAATAAGTCTTTTAATTTTTAATCAGCCTTTCAGTGTTGCTGGTGACAGAGAGGATATTTCATTTTGCCGAGTATGGAATCCATACAAGATGACCTGCTAGACAGGCACTTCACTGAACTGGAGCACCTTACAAAAACCATTAGAGAATGCACAACTCTACTGGAGTCATTATGTCAGCATCTAATCTTTGTTGAAGGTTGAAGGTCAAAGACACTATGGAAACAATATTCTTGTAGACCCAATATTAGGGCTGGGTATCACCACTGATTTCCCGAATCGATTCAATTCCGTTTCACAAGGTCCCAATTCAATTTGATTTCTGATTCGATTTGGTTCGGTTCGATTAGATTATGATTCATTTAGGGATACTTCAGTCACCATAACAGGTTTTGTTTGGATATGAAAAGAGATTTTCAAAGAGCTAACGTTGTAATTGTACAAGGAACACTCAACCTATGGTAATTAAAAATATTAGTGTTTACATGAAGAATTAACCCAAAACAGTTACACAAATCTTTTTATTATTTAATGTGTCCAACTACACTACAACAGTGTACATGTAATGTAAACATACAATTGTGATTATCTCACACACTTCCACACAATTCCAGTGTCAAAAAAGGCCTTGAAACAGGTTTTGAATTGCCTTTTAAAGTGCAATTAAATTTATTTTTAAAAAGGAAAAATCAGTCATGTAAATTGTATGTAAATGAACATTGTAAACTCTGAGGTCCATAAAACAAATCTATTCATGACTGCTCTCTCACTTCTTGGAGATTGTGACATTTTTCTGCAAGAACAGGAGCTGATTTACATGTTGTGGAGTGAGACAGCTCTTTTGTGCAGAAAAAATATAGCCTGCTGTTGAGAAAACTCTCTGAGAAGGGACGCTGGTTCCAGGGAAACAAATGACGTTTGGCTTGGTGAGCCAAAAGAGAATATTCCCCTGCATGCACCCTCCACCAGGTCAGTGGATTTTCAGAGAGCGGAATAGGTTTTACTTCCCTGTATCAGTTCACTTTTTCTCGTGCTTTGTCAGCCGCCATTTTCTGCGATAGTGTCTTTTGGTGTGTAGGCCGGTCCACGGAGAGCCATCAATGCAGAAGATTCCTATGGCCTTTTGGGTGGAAAACTTCAACAGGATCAAGGGAGTTGTCTTCTTGCTTTACAGGCACAGTGTGCTCTGCTACATCACCATCAGATTGTTGCTGTTGAAAGATGGAAATATTCAAGAATAAAATTCAATGGAAAATCAATTGGGAAAGCCAGTCAAAGGGGAATTTGTTGTTTAATATTGCTAACAAAAAAAGAAAAAAGGACTATTTTGAAAGTATATTCATATACAGCTGTGAAGGTTATTTCTGTACTTGCATAGCTTCAGTCACCAGTTTAGAAAAAGTCTTGTCACGGGCCTCATCGGACAAGAAAGGCAGGGCCTAATGCTGATGCTACATACAGCTTGTCTTTCAGCACCACTTATCTTAAAAAAAAGATTTCACATATTTAACTGACTGACACACACCATGTATATTTATTTCATAACGTAAAGTTACAAAGCATTTAGCCTTTTGTATTTTATACACAAAGCTCAATGTTTTTGTCCTCCCTAACACGCGCACACACACACGTTAAGTAAGCATACCTCGATTTCAAATTGTTGTTTGCAGCAGTCTTAAGGCCCTTAATCACGGTGGAGTCGTGGGGGACACTGCTTATCTCCTCTAGTAGCTGTGAATGCAGAGGCGCAATGACGGATAGAGTTGGGGACTTCTCCTCCGACATTACAAAGGTGGCTGCCTTCAGAGGCCCTAGAGCTTTCACCACATCTTCTGCAACAGTTATATCAAGCTTGGTCAGCAAGCAGATATTGCTTTCATTCCTGCATACTTCTGGTGACAGCAGAGTTGCTGAGATCGCTGGTTGCTTGCACAGAAAGCGTTCTAGCATCTCCAGTGCCCTATTCCCACAAGTTGCCACATCTGTCATCAACTTGTGTGCAGGCAGCCCCAGTATCTTTTGCTTCTCTTTGAATTAGTGGCTTGCCATAGTGCTCCAAAGAAAAAATGATGCAATGCGCCTCACTCCGCCAAGCAAACACACAACAGGTGGAATTTTGAGAGCTGCCTGTGAGGCTAAATTGAGTGTGTGGGGAAACAACCAACTTGTTGCACATTGGGTAATTCCACAGCATGGGTCATGTTCACAGCGTTGTCTGTCACAATAGTTGGATCTTTGTTTGCAAGCTCCCACTCTTGTATCACCTCGGACAACAGTTCAGCTAGATTACTGGCCATGTGACTGGTTTCAATTGTCTGTAGAACATGAGACATGAGCCTCCATTTGACGTTGATAAATTGAGCTGTAATTGTTAGGTACGAATCAATTGCTCTGGATATCCAGCTGTCACAAGTTAGGACTACCCACTCTGTTGACTTAAGTAAAGTTGCGATGCAATGTTTCATGTCTGCGTACAGGTTTGGAATGGCCACTTCACTCAAATGTTTACGGGTGGGTAAAACACGTGGCTCCAGAATATTAATGAGGCTTCGGAAGCCATCGTTTTCAACAACGCTGTATGAACATATATCTTTACATACAAAAGTTCCCCAAGTTATTTTTTGGCATGGGGAGAACTGGGGAGAACAAGGTAATTTCAGCGCAAATGCCTGCTCTAGTGGAGGTTGTTTACGGTCTGGCGTTTTTTGGATATCAGGGTTGCGTCGCGTTAAATAGTTTCTCAGATTTGTGGTATTCCCACAATATTTCACCTCCATGTTGCACATCTTATATACGACTTTGCTTTTGTCCAGCTTTTCCCTACCGTCATGGTTTCTGAATCCAAAATGTAACCAGACATCTGCTTTCAGCTGTTAGCCATCTTGGACAACACCTCACACCTCCTGCATGCTACACTGGATAAACAGAGAAGCACATTCAGTATCAGACTGTTACAGCTGTGCTGTGTTAAAGAGCGCCATGTGAAATCTTTCTTACCCACTGCTATATGGCTTTACAACGAGTCTCCTTACTGCAGAGATGGTACTGATCTCCTGCTGTCTGTCTACCTTCAGGTTCTGGGGACATCTTCACTTCAGCTCCAGCCATGCTTAATTGATGTGCAGGCCAAAACTTGTTGCAGATTAAACCCCCCCCTACCCAATAACAACTCCTAGCGGCACTGCTGGTGTTCTGATATATTATCCTACTTTCTCAAAATGTCTTACTGCAGCACGTATTTAACATTAGCACCCTACTTATAACTATAGGTAGGATACTTTGTTAGCCTAAATTACTTTATCATAGGGTAAGTAATAACATTAAGTTGAGTCTGTGTGACATACTCAAAATGAGGCTAAATTAACATTAAAAACACAATATAGAGTTATGGAGTAACTGAAGGTTGGGAGGAGAAACTTTGCTACAATCTCTCCAATGCTCTATAAATTCACATCCTTACCATCAGTCTCCTGTAACAAAGTTCTCACAGTCAGCTGTGAGATGCCAGTGGAGCTATAAGCCACTCTCCCACAGACCTCCACTCTTTTGATCCATTTTCACCATAACTGGTGCCCTAGCTAGTTTGGCCTCAATAGGATCCGTCTACCTGGCCAATTTCCCCACCCACGCATGCGCTACCTGTCTGGTTTCAGTGCTTTCAGAGCAGCTGCAGTGCTCTCAAGCCTCAGAGGCTCACATTACTTGCGTACCTCCACGCCTGCTCTTGCCCCCACTATCCTTGTCCAATCTGAATCTCTGACTGAGATGCAACCATGCATCACAGACAAATCCCTTTACCTGGATTGAATTTTTCCATTTTGTCTTAGCTCTGTTGGAGGTAAACAAGGCCTGCTCTTTGCCAGGATTGTTGGCCACCTTCAGCTGGTGTGGCCGTGCAAACCACGTGACCACGCCACTGTGTCAATGTTCACCCTACACGATGACATTACCACAGCAATGCACATTTTATACTACAACATTACTCCTTCATTATCCTTTCCAAACAGTTACACAAGCTGCCATTCCTCTTCTCTCTTGCTATTGCCTTGCTATTTATTCCCATTTTCCCTAGTACAGGGCCAAAGTTCCTGTCCCCTACCATGCTTTGCATCTGCTTAGTTGGATGCAATCTCTTATTATGTTAAACCAATCCTTGCCGCTTTCACCCTCAGCTTACTCATCAGAAGTTCAGACCCGGATATCTGTTAAGCAGCTCACAACCCTGTCGCCATCAAGATATTACACTGAATCAAACTCACCTGCTTCATCTTTCCTCTCATCTTACAAGTTTAATAGCAATACAACCTACTCCAAGTGCCATGCAATGGGCCAAGACCTCTTTTCTGCCTAGGCTGAACTCATACACCAAACCATATGAAGCGTAGCATTATGCCCAACTCAGATATCCAAATACTAGAGCATCTGACCAACCCATTTGATTGAATTCAACTCCTTCAAATCCCACCATACCCTCTTACCAAGTTCTCCACCCAAGCAGCTACAATTTTGTCAGTGTTTCAAAATCAGCTCTTGGAGGACCGAGATTTCTAGTCCACTGTCTTTCTCATCATGTGAAGATCCCTCAAACATATTCTCTGTACACTTTACTCAGTCCTAGACCTGAACAGTTTCTGAGTTCATCCTGGAGTTCTTTTTGGGGGTCCAGAGTTCTCTCCCATCCCACAATCAGTCTTCCTTCACACTACCACCACATGTTTAAGATGCGGTCCAAATTCGCAGAAAAAGATGAGAACAAAAAAGTTATTATACTAATGATGTATCACACAATAGGTAGGACCAATTGTGAGAACACCTGAACAAACTGCAGTTTCATCTGAACAACGTACATGTTTTAAAATACTTCTCTCAATTGAATTTGCAATCAAGTTCATTAATGCAGGGGAACTAAGTAAATTATACAGCAGTGGGTAATCTTGTATGGATTCTACACTACATAGGATGTGATAGCAAAAATAAAAAGTATTCTTACTGTCACCAACAATACTGAAAGGCTGATTAAACATGAAAAGGCTGATTAAAACTGATAAGAGCAACTGTTTGTTCAGCCCTAAAAGAGATTGAAAGGAGTTTTTCCAGAAACCTTTTTTCTTTTGTTCTTAGCATGTTCTTATTTACCAAAACTCTGCCTTCCTGTTACAATGAAATTACTTCAGAGCGTGCTGAAAACTGTTGTGCGCATACCAATGACTGTAGCCTGTGTTCAATCATTCACACACACACACACAAGTATGTACAAATAGTATGTATATGTGTATAAGCTGTGTGTGTGTGTTTCATGGGTATGTGCAAGTAATGTGTCTGTGTGTATGTGAGAGTAGTGTGCATGTGTGCGCGAATGTTTCAATGTATTTCACCCTAAACTATGGGGTTTCTAAAAGGAAATATTCCATACTTTAATCATATATATTGGTTTATGGTACATACATGATACTTGGTTCAATGGTACATGCAGTGTTTTTTAACCATAAGGGTTCAGTAGAACATATAATGATTTGCTACCAGTAATTTGGTTTACTGACCTACAAATTGGCTTGCAGGATTATGAAATGGTAATGGGATATATTAGTCACCAAACATTTATTTTGTTTGTATATACATTGGATTCTAAGTTTATAGAGTCAGCAGTCATTGTAACTTTATTTTCACACAAAGCACAAACAAAATACCAAAACCAAATAAAACCAACAGCTGGCCACTTTTCAGTGGCTTCATTTTAGACTTTTCAGTTGTTTTCTCAACAAGAGCTTTTCAGTCTTTCTGTTGCTGCCTGCCTCTCTTCCTGTTCTGTTCCTTTTAAAGGTGCCCACGTTGCCAAAGCCAGTGATCAGCTCGCTCTCATTAATGTAAGTGCATGCACCTAAGCCGAGAGGGAAAGAGTTCACTCTTTGCCGCCCCTCTTCTGCTGCTCGGCCACCGCGATCAAATGTCAGGATTAAAGGGCCTTGCGGCTGTTGTCTGTTGTCGCTGTCCTCCCACCGCCTCTTGCAGATGTCTCCTCCTACTGTCTCTCGCAGCTGTCGTCAAAACACATGATAGAGATGAAGAATTAGCTACTGTAATCGCTCAATCACAACACGTTTTCAAGACCTCACACATGAACACTCATAAACAGAAAGACCTACACTCGCACGAGAGAGAAGTGTATATATAGAGAGAATGTGTGTTTGTGTGTGTATGTGTGTGTGTGTGTGTAGGTTTTAAAGATTTTGTGTTTTGTAAATTGTGTAACTAGTTTTGTGTGTCTCATTTTGTCTGCATTTTATCTGCTGAAATGATGCATGTTTGAAATGACAGTGTTTGTGATCATTTCTCTCTCAGCCTGCGTGGTTGTAAACTCACAGAGAAAAGCTGTGCAGTTGTGTCCAGAGCTCTCAGCTCAAACTCCTCAAGTCTGCGAGAACTGAATCTGAGTGAGAACAAACTGCAGGATTCAGGAGTGAAGCAGCTCGCTGCTGGACTGATGAATCCACACTGTAAACTGGAAAAGCTGGAGTAAGATCATTACTTCTACACACAAACACACACTGTGTTTTTCTGTGTGTTATTCTCTGATATCCTGTTGTTTTTATGTATTTGTATGTGAGATGGTATTTATGATTTTTGATAAAGATGTGTGTTTTCCTCTCTACAGGCTATCTAACTGCAATATTACAGAGGAAGGTTGTGCTGCTCTAGTTTCAGCTCTGAAATCAAACCCCTCACACCTGAGAGAGCTGAATCTGGACCTCAATAAGCCAGGAGATTCAGGAGTGAAGCTGCTCTCTGATCTACTGGAGGATCCACACTATAGGCTGGAGAATCTACAGTAAGTTACTGTATCACTGTCTTTAAACACATACTTTTCCAGTGGATGGTGATCTACAGCATTTTAGTCCCACAGTTTTTCGAGATATTGACACCATTACAACTCCAAAATTTTTGGTCTGATCAGGAGCAGTCACTCGCTCGCTCACCATTTAAGCCGCTTATCCTCCTACGTCATTGTGTGGAAAGCAGGAAACACTCTGGACAGGTCGGCAGTCCATCACGGGGCAGACACACAGACATACACAGTCACATAGGGACACTTTAGTATCTCCAATTGGCCTGACTGCATGTCTTTGGACTGTGAGAGGAAACCGGAGCACCCAGAGGAAACACAGGGAGAACATGCAGACTCTACATAGAATGGTCCTTGTTTGCCCAGCTGGAGAACAAAACCCACGAGGCAACAGTGCTTGACAGGGAATAGTGGGCTTGTATACAGCTTTCTGATTGGTCATATGGATTTATGCACAATTATCGTTAAATGACCATTTTTTACCATAGGAATGAGTGGCGTGAAAAGGTTTGTGCACCCAACATATGTCATGTTGGTACGATTAGAAAAAACTCAGTCAACTTTTGGGCTACCATAGTAGTGACCTAGCAACACCCTAGCAACCATCAGGGATACCACAGCAAGTGCCTCAGTGAGTATACACTCTGTAGCCAAAGGTTTTTCGAACACTATTATTATACCATGATCATACATCACCACCCACAGTCAGTAAACACTCTGTAGCCAAATGTTTTTGAATGCTGCTCTTATATCATGACCACACACCACACAGTGCTGACTGTGATATGTGTGTGTCCATGTCTGATCATTCTGTCCTTCCTTTTTTTACAGGATCTGAACAAACACCTGACCTGGTATGAGTCTCACACACACAAGGGGTTATGAGGAGAGGATGCAGTCTCATAGAACACACACACACACACACAGAGTGTGTGATTCTACGTGGTAATATGTGTGTGTGTTTGGATCTTTATTGGTCAAATCTGTGAATATGGCTGCAGTACAGAGCTGTGTGCTCTCCCCTTGACATCACTTCTTGTTTACCAGTGACTGCACTTTCAGTGTCCTGTCCATCAAACTCCTCACATTTGAGGACGAGCCCACATTGGTGAAGAGATGATAGAAATCAGCACCGGAGCCACAGAAGTGGAGGAGATTTTCAAGATCATGGAAGACACTGGCTCACAGAGATACATATAGATATTCAACAGCGCAGAGAAGCTCCTGAAGAACAGTTGAATGAACTCTGCTGCTTTCCTGTTTTGTACCACTATGACAGTTTCTGAGATTAGGAGTTTGCTTTCATGATATTTTTATTACAGTTGAACGGTGCAGTCCTTGGTATGATTTCATGAGCAGTTTGTCAATTACTTTTATGACTGTGTATATGCAACCAAACACCTGCTTGAAAAGGTACATATATGTTTAAGTAGATCATGCTGCTAGGCAGATGTGATAACTGAACTAAACAGAAACAGATCATTATCAGTAAAATTATTTTTATCAATGCGTAAAGTCTGTGATACGTATGGTATGTAGTTTAGTAGGAAAGTGTCTCGTCTGTCGGAAACTTAAGGCTTTGAGCCTTGATATTCAATTTCCAGATGCTTTCTCCCTACTGAAAGTCAGGGAGAGGCAGGGAAACATTTTCAGGTTCTTGGGTAAATGCTCTGTGGTGCTATGTCTGTATTTTATGTGTCAGCGACAATCCATTTGGCACACAGGTTTATGACTAAAAATCTGAAAATGGTTGCCCTAGACTTAAACTGTACAGGATTAGGCCAATATATGTAATTTTATCACTTCTTGTTTCCGTTATCCCAGATCAACGTGCCTATGTTGATTATGAATCATTCTCATGTGCAAAGATACTCCTTTATTAGTCCCACAATGGGGAAATTCTAATCTTAGAGATAAGGTGATGTGACTGAAGTAATTTGTAAGCTGTTTAACATGAAGAGAGGAACAGCTATTATCTCACCTGTTACTGTTGAAATTTGTGTATATTTTATCACTTTATTTAAACAAGAAAGTGGATCATTTCTCTCTAGGCAGCCTCTTGGAGCTTTACTCTCACACATTGATCAGTAAAACATCAACTGCTGTTCCTGGATTGTAGAATTGGGAAGTAGAGGTCTGCGTGGGACTGTTTTTTCAGTCCTGCACCCTCCACCCCCATCCCACAGTAAATCAGATTAATTTTTCCCGCGCCTGCCCACAACCAAAACGTTTTGTCCCATGCCAACCCGCACAGTCCTGTCAAGGCAAACGGAAATCCAATATCTGACACAGTCTAATCACAAATACACTATCCTCTGCTGAAATAACACGGCAGTCATGATCATCAGGCTCACTGTGAGTAACTTCACCAAACGCCATTTATTCCCAGTAAACACAAAGCAGGAATTAAACCACAGAGTTACGTGTGAGCGCTGTGATTTTTTCTCTCTCTCTCTCTCTTTTGCATGCTTTCTCTCTCTTGTCTTCTCTGCTCAGTTTTACCTATCTTTAGCCTTATAGGTGGATCGAAGTGTTGCGCTGTCACCATTTTACCGATCAGACAGTCTGATCGGACCAAGAGGGGGTGGCACTTCACAAAGCAGCCTCACAGCTCACTCATTTGGCTGGTAGTGGTGCTTTGTATTAGTGAACACCAACTTGTTCATTGGTATGCACCGCTGGAATGCAGACATGCAGGAACGCTGCTGTGAGTTTTATCGCTGGTCATGTTCCTGCTGCAGGATTGCTCTCTGAAAACTATGATAAAGACCACATTAGAATCAGCTGGGCTTCATTAATTGTTCTACCTATTACAGTGTTTTTCTACTTACACACTCACTTTTATCCCTCATAATCAACACAGAACCTGTTGTTATACAGTACCATCCCAACATGATTCATTTTAGACCCTGTAAGTCTACAGCTTCTATAATAGAAACCCCAGGAACAGCAACAGGACAGTGTCCAGAGTAAAGGCAGAAATATCAGCACTGTGCAGAATTTAAACTATTGTATATGGATGTGAAAGCAGCTCTGTGTTTAATTATATCGAGCTGCTGGCCTTCACAGTGGCTCTTTTGGAACATGGTTGGCTGATTAACATGGTAATGGGAGACCCTACAGCCAAACCCCTCCCCCTTTTCCCAGAGTGCTTTGCTGAGGGTCTGGGTGCTGCTACAGCTGTAGCAGAGATGATGGATAATGATGGCAGAAATTTTGCTGCTACTTCTCCTTTCCTACCCCAGAAGACTGCAGAGGAATCAATCGGAGAAAGAAAGCAGGAGGAATGGAGAGAACGAGTAGAAATTGAGGAAATGGGACAGCAGATTCCTAACAACATCATTAAATCTGATGTTGAATATTGATGAGCTGAGCCACATGCACAACATTCGCTTGAAAGCACGCCCGTCATGCTCCAGTATCCAATCAAAGCTGCCACACAGAGCCAGCCAATTCACATTTGTGTGATTTTCTACTGCATGTTATTTTATTTCACACTAAGTACAAAATACACAACAGAGACACTATATAAACACAAACAAAACAGAATTTAAAGTATAGTAGCTTTGTATGTAGCTTTTAAAATATTTCTGAGAACACGGTCACATGGTTTTGCTGAGAGAGAAGGGGGACTCATTCCCCCATTAAGCACCAAACTTTAGTTTTCCCCCTTTACCATTGCATCAATGTTGTGGTCATTCACTGTGGTAACAGTCATTATGATTCTTAGAGTATTGTGAGTATTTTGAGATTAAACACACGTTTTCTGATGAGCTGATTTTAAGAAAAAAAAACGGTTTATTTCGGGTTTGGAGCAGTAACAGCACACGTGATTTACTAGTTGTTCTTTATTGTACATACTGGTCAAAACTCTTAATCTAAGTGGTGTAAAATAATCAATGGAGTGCTCCATTCTGCTTTCATATTATTCAAACTCTAATATAAATTTCTGTAAACTCTCTAGATCTTATTATAGACAGGGTACATGATTCTGAATCAGAGGCTTGGCAGGATTTGGCAACCAAGATGAAAAAGCCACTTGCTGATCACCTTAAAATGGACCCAAAACTGGTGGAATTTGAAAGGCCACACTGCGTGGGCAAGTTTGATTCCAGTCACTCAAGAACAATTGTGAAGCTTTTACACTACAAAGACAAGGAGGAAACACTAAAACTGTCAAAACACGCAAAGGCACAACCCTATATGTCAATGAAGACTTTTCTGAAGCTGTTCATCTGAAAAAAAAAGGAACTATTACCCCAGCTGCATGAAGTACGACGGCGGGGAAGTGCTGCACATCTCACATCAGCTCCTTGAACTTAATGGCAGCACTCTGGTTCCAGTCAGCTCAGTCAGTTACTGCAGTGTTTCTGCAAGTGCACACGTGATTGTATTGTCATGCTTGCCTCGACATCGTCACAAAGTTTCAAATGGAGAACTGTGTGTATTTATAGATCATAATTCATGTGTAACATCCTCCTCCCCAAATCTTATTCCAGTGTAGCAGCCAACAAGCTCAAGAAATAAACACGAGCCAATGATTCACAAGAGACAGTAGATGCCTTTAAACTATCAATTTAAAAAAAGGCTTATATATAATGGTTAATAAAAGTTTTAAAGAAATCAAAGCTCGTTATATGTGTGCCTTTCCAAGTAGAAGAAAACTAAAGAAAAGAAAAATCATAATTTTATTGGCCAAGAAAGACCTAAGTTATATAAACTTTGTCTTGGCAGGAGCTGACATTACACAGACATGCCAGTAAGTAAATACATGAAATTAAACAGTAGACTAAAAAACAAGGGAACAAAAAGGAAATAGTGCAAGTGGTGAATATATACTGTTTCTTATTTTTGGACAACAAAACACCATGAACAAACTGCACAAATATATCGCTAATGACAGAATCTCTTATCTCAAAATGGTAACTTTACAGAAGAAGGGAAAATATTCTTAACTTGTAATAGAAGTTAATGTAACAAGACTTTTTTTGTTGGTGTGTTCATCATGAAATTTTGGCAAAAGGCAAATTCTGGAAAAAAAACAAGAAAAACAAGGTTTTTTTATGTCAGTGACAATTTACAGATTGATCAGTATTCTACAATATTGTGGTTGTGATAATATTGATCCTTTTCAGCAAAGATTTATTGAACAATAAATCATTGCTGTCAGAACAAAAACTTGTATCTCCAAAAAAAGTAACTTCATAGGAGAAAGAAAGAATATCCTTAACTTTTAACGGAAGTTAACAAGATCTTATTTTAATTTCTTTTAGACCATTTATCATGAAATTGTGACAATGTACAAGGTAGAGTGACCACTGTATTTTTATGTACTAAAACAAACTGAACTTGACTGTGATTGACAGGTACTGTATTTATAAACACCTTCCAGTCAGTGAAATATAAAGGAATTCTGAACTGAAAATATATAAGACACCTTTTGATTGAACCATTAAGCATCCATCTTCCTTCCTCTGAGCTGCTTGTGCTTGGGGGGGTAAACCTGAGGAAATGTAGAGACATTTCATCAAATTATCAAAGAATAACAAGCTTAAAGTAAAGCTTTACTGAAAAATCTAATCTTTCCCTTATATTAATGAGTAGAAGACCCTCAAGCACCATTAGTTTCTGTTTGTAACTTAAGCAGATACCATAAACCATAAAACTGTAACCTTTGGTACTGGCAGTTTCAGTTTTCTGGTCATAAAGGTTTTGATACTTTATGTAGAGGAAAAATCACCCATCTAAATGTTGAACTTTTATTCTTATTCTGTTCTTCTAAAACATTAGCTTCTTATCAGTGGTGCAGAACTAAAAAGCGACTGTCAGACATCAAACGTGTCTTTGCTGATCAACTTCATTTACAGTAAAGGGGAAAATTTTCTGTGAACGGTTCCTTTAAGGTCACAATAGCAGCTCTTGCTCAATTCTGAGATTATTTTTAGGCCTATATTCCAAGAGCCTTTCTCTTACTTTTAGAGACATGAACTAGTTTAATGCATTACATCTGAAGGGAAATCTCAGCATTTCATACACAACGCAATTGGTGATTCACAGCATGTCTGTGGGGTGTTTGGCAAGCACCACATTCAGTCCCTCCAGGAATGTAGCTATGATAAATTCAACCAACATTCGCAATATTTGCAAGTGATCCGGGAATCCAGTTCAGTCCTGTCTTGCATTATTTCTGCATTAAACATGTGAACTGGTACAATTGCTATCACAGTTATTAAGTGCGCAAACTGCAGTATATGAGAGGTTTTGAGGTAAGCTACTAGTTGTATTTTTATGAAGTTATTAACCGTGTCAGAAGTATAAAGTACAAGTCTTTAAATGAAACATATAGT